CTTATCACCCTTGAAATGTGAAAGATTTGACTCTGGTTCAAATGCATCTCTGTGTTTTGTGAGAGGTTTTTTCTTCTTTTCCCAGTTGCTCAAAAGTAGTTGGCAAATCCTGATGTTAGAGTAAACCAATATGAGGCCACATACTTTGGGTCTGATTCTAGAGCCAGGAACTTAGCCCTGTGCTTGATGTTATAATTTGAGTAATATGTACTGCTGATGTGCATGGTTGATTTTGATCTGTGCTGTTGAATCTGACTTTTCTCAGTGACTGGTAGAGCTTTCGCTTCCTGGGAGCTCTGGGAAGCTCCAGGCAGACAGAGGTTTCCTCACTGTTCTGTGGACCAGTCCTAGAGCAACGCAGGATACTCTTAAGGGGACCAATGGCCATGTTTAGAAATGACCAACCCACACTTAGTGATTCAAGTCTCTTTGATTTGCAAAATCTGCCCACTCAATGTGTGCACGCCAGCAGGCCAGTCTACTGCAACATCCTGAGGAATCCAATGAAGGGAGAATGCTTCAGCATCCACAAGCTCCTTCTCTCTGCACGGTGATTTTTAGGTGGATGAAAATGAGGTGACTGTGGCTGTTTCTTACTTAGTTTGCAACTTTTGTCCCCGTCATGCTGGGCCACAGACAGAACATTTCCATTCGTGTTCTTGGTCTTGAAGAAATCAAAGTTTCCCTTGAAGAAATAATTGCTTCCATGGAAAATCCCCACATGCAGATCAACTTCCTGATGTTATCAAGGCACAGAAAAACTTCAAATATGAATAACTTAAACTCACTCCTGATTCAGTACATGCACAGGAAAGTATTGATACAAATATTAACAATTACTCTTTGGAGATTGTTCAGCAGAGAAAAAAGTGTATTTTATCACTTAGTTTATTTTTTGAAATGAATTTTACTGGTGTGGATAAAAATATATGTAAATTATTTTTAATTTTAAAAGATTCTTCTATAGCTGGCCGCAGCACTGAATAACCTTTCATGGCTATGTTGATCCAGATTAAGACTTGACTACAATTTTGCAGACTTCTATGTTCTGCCAAATGTGTCCAAATGAAATATTTGTATCAACTTTGGATGCCCTAACTTTGGGTCCAGGACTACAAATTTTAGGTACTGTGACATGATCTCAAGCTGCAAAATTTAATTCAGGGCTTGCAACCTGTGATGTTAGAAAAGTAGCTTGCAGAATTCAAACCTGAATCTGAACTCAGATATTGAAAGTGACCTCTCTCTCCCTCTCTAATTTATAAAATACTGAAGAAAAAAGAGGTTCAAGCTTATGATGCAATTTGCAAAAATTTGACCCAAGGCAACCTTTGCCAGACACTGTTAAAGACCAAATGGGCCAGTAAGGTTGAAATGGTTTGTTGCACAAAAACAGTGACTCTGCGCTAAGCTTCATAGGTTGGAAGGTACATTTAGAAAGTCTGGGCAAAAATGTGACAAGAAGCCAGTTTAAATACAAGCACAAAGGTGTGATGTGTTCTGAGGGCCAGGTGTGACTTGGGAGCCTGGCAGCTTTGTGCGTGTTGTAACTTTGACATTGTGGATGAAGAGAGACAGGCTAACAAAGATTACCGATAATAGAGTCATAAAAAGGTATGGCCCACAGTGTTATCTCTCCTAAGAGACATGGTGAACAAATGCACTATGAAGGGATACTTGTGTAAAAGGCAAATGCATTATTTGTGGCATACCCGTGAGCAGTTTACAAATGCACTTATTTTGTCTTGGTACATCTTTACTTGTAAGCGTTTACCAGGTAATAACCAGCTCTGAATAATGCTCCATACTTACACCTTTTGTGCATGAGGAAGAGGGCAAAAGACAAAGAAAACAGTAAACAGCTTTCTCCTCTTTTTATGCCTTTCTTTTATGATGTTATAATTTGCAGATAAAGAGGCTCTGCATACTATCAAGCTTAAGGATCATGAAGAAAAATATTCTTGTTTGAAACAGTACGTGGCAGGAGTAAATTTTTACGCCCCAGTTTTGTAGCTTACAACCAGGACAAGTGGTACTGACATTGCTAAGGCTCCATTGCTAGGGCAGAAATTCAGCAGTACAAATATTCATTTTCTATGCCAGTCATAGAAAAATTACGTAGTATCCATCTCTGTTGCTTCCTTGAAAAAATACCCTGACGTAAGGAGCTGAAGGCCTATCTGAGAGAAACATCTGTTTCTCATAATAATATTTCCAGTGAAAAGCATTATCAAAAAAATTTACAGTTTATGTGTCTGTTGCATTTCACTTTCCCTCCTATTAGTTTTCATCTGTTTCATCTGTGTTCAAGTAGACTCCTAGGGTAAGGGAAGGCTTTGTCTTGTTTACCCATTGGTTAGGAAAAGTTAGGTGTCAAAACTAAAACTGCTATTTAGGCCATCTCCATAGTCAGTGGAGTATAAATCAGTATTTAGAAGACACCAGATAAATTGTCCTCTGCAGGTAATTTCATTGACTGCACAGCTGGTGAGAGGAGCAAGGCATGGAGAATTCAACCAAAAGCCCAGAGTCTGCTCAGGGGGCTCATCTGGAGCTCTGGTCATCCGTACAGGTGATCCAGTGTGTACAACATGACTCACAGAGCTTTTTGCTGTAAACCATCACAGTGCAAAGAGCTTGGCTTCCAAAAAGAGTTAAGAGTTGCTGTGAATATATAAAATATTTGACTATATTTTATACAACTTTTGTTGTCTGAGGTGTAAAAATGCCTCAAAACAAAAAGTGTAATTAAATGAAAATCTATTTGAACTTGTATACATAAGAAAATATTACTCAGATTTATTAAAAAAAACCAGTGATTATAATAAAATTAAAATAAGAAGTGAAAATAATAAAATATAATAATAATATATATATATTATAATTATAATAATTATAATAAAATTATAATAAAATGTTGAGTCCAAAAACTCAAAAGTGTTTGTTAGGTTAGGCTGAAAACACATCTCTACCATTATATAAAGCTACCAGCATTTTTTGCATGTGTATTAAACACATTGAATGTGTGTATTTAACTAAGTATGTATTATCCATATGCAAACAGTTGACTGTAGAAACAGTATGTCCAGCAGGAGAAAATGAATTCCAGAAGATACAGGGTGCATTTCTAAAAGGATTGCATTGAAGAAAAACACACACTTATCGAATACTGAGACACCTTTGCCTTGGCTTTCCAGTTCTGGAGTTTGCTGTACTATGAGTGATTTGGTTTCTCATCTTTCCAGGGATGAAAATTAGGGTATGGAAGAAGGGACACACACAGATCCAGTGTGAGAGCACTTGGCTCACCACAATGTGACTACGTACAGTTCTGGAATTAGGATTACAGACAAGAAGCACACGCATGCTTGGGCTGGGTCACCAGGTGTCTCTGGGTAAATGGCTCCTAGACATGTAGGAGTGGGCTATAGGGTCGGCTGTCTGTGATACAGGTTGAAGTGATGCTATTAATTGCAGTGGGCAAAGAATCAGACCTAGGATTTTTCATGGAAGGCAGGTTTTAATTTTTGGTTTGAGCATGAGCTCCTAGAATATAAAAAGCACACCAGCGTACTGACTGTATACGTGTAGACTGCTCTTACACGCTTCAGAAATTCCTGTTCTTTATAAATTCCATTCCATTTTACATGATCTTAAATTCCATCTTCTAGTTTTTATAAAGCAAAGCACTGTTTGGTGACTGTAGGTTTCACATCACTAAGTATATTTCATTTGACACTTCTTATTCTCGGCAGTTCCTTACATGCCTTAACATGCTGCTCTCTCCCACCCTCTTTGGCTGCTTAATGCTCTTTACTGCTCTTTCCTGGAGCTTCCTTAATTGATGCATTTGGCAATTTGTTACATTAAAAAAAAAAAAAAAAAAAAAAAAAAAAGAAAGAAAGCTTGACTTTCCAATTTAAAGCACTTGCACTGTCTCTTGTTGTTGGGTATTGTCCACTGCTTTCTTTCCTTAAGAAAAAACACTGAAATTCTAAATGCGATTTCCTTAAGTATATTCTTTTACAAAAACTTTCTGAGGGGTCACCACCAGCTTCAAAGGATTTCTTAACAAGAAAAGAAAAAAAATCTGTCTGAGTTCAGTTCCTGTCATGTTGGAAAAAGATGTGACAGGCATTGGATTTCTGAAGTCATTTTTGTTTTTAGATTAAAGATGTATTAAATTGGAAACAATTTCACTTCAGCCCATGAACAGTGGCAATAAATACTACTGTGACTATAGCTTATTTAGGAGAACCTTCAGCTCTGAGTTAGTGCAGTGCCATGGGAAAAAGGACTTGACTCAGGAGTGGACACTTCCAATCCTACTAACAAGCAGCGTTATTCAAAACAACCTTTAATCCTTTATAGAAAAGCAACTACTTCCTTAGACATCTGGAGGATGGCTCCCCCAGACAGATTACAGAGGCTACGGCTGGAAAACTGAGGCTGAGCCAAAGATGGAGAGAGGCAGTAGGATTTCGCTCCTGGTCTAAAGGCCCAACTGAAATTCCTACCACACCAAAACCAAATAAGCCCACTCTGTTTCCCCAGAATGACCAGAGGGGTTATGCAGAGAGCTGTGTTGGATGGACTGTGATGGGGCAGGCTCCTGCTGCCCTGGTCAGCTCTCCATCAGAAGAACAGCCCAGTGGCCAGAATTCAGCTCAAGGGACACAGAGGATGAGCTCCTGCACTTGGCCCCATATGGGGAGGTCTTGGAGCTGAGGGCCAGGCACTGCTCATGTTTCCTGGAGATGCTCAAGACTCATTTGAACAAACACTAAGGGGTGAAGCTGGGCTAGGACAAGCCATGGCTTGCCATCACCATTCAGGATGCTGAGAACAAACCACGTAACATCTGCAGATAGAGAGGCCTTGCTTGCCAGAGGACAGCAATGAAATAGCACTAGCGTTTCCTGGGTAGGCTCAGTAGCCTTGCACTCCCTGCTTTTTCCTTTTATCCTCTACCCATGTGTTTTCTTTAAAATAATCCTTACCTTTCTGTTTCACTCAGTTGCATGCAGGAGTTAGACTCGATCTTCCTTCTGGGTCCCTTACAACTTGGGATATTCTATGATTCTACGAAAACACAGTAAGAAATACATTTCAAAAGAGAGTTTTTACTCAATTTTTAAGCTAACTACTTTAATTGTATTTATACATCCATATTCAAATTTCCTGGCCAAAAACTCCTTCTGTCTTAGTTTTTTTGCAGTTCTTAAAGAACAGATTTCTGTTTTAAACAAGATGCAATACCTTATACAGTTTGTTTTTAAGATATCTTTCTTATTGTCTTCACTGATTACTATGTTTTAACCAGATTCTTCGTGTTATCAGTTAACACCACCCTATATGTGTGTATGACATTGGCAGATCTTCATCTATATATACTCATCTGCTGGGACCATACACGTAGGTATGATAGGTATACGGGGCTGCTGGCACACCACTGTGAGCCTGAGGAGTTCAAAGAGAAAATGAGCTCCATTTGCAAACTTAATTTTAAGGGAAAGAAAATGGAAGCCGTGCTTGTATGTCAACAGCAGTATTTTATCTCAGTACTTGAGAAACAGAAACGATTGCTCTGGAATCTGTTTTTGCGAAGTCACATGGATTGTTTGAAGATATTAGCAAAGTATGTTTCAAAATACACACCTAAACTCCCTGTGTATGAAGTCATTCTTAGAAAAATAGAAGACATTTGTACATTTTTAGACAAGATTATAAATTTCATTTCAATATTCTCTAACATTAACATCAACCACATGTCACTGACGTAGTCCATTTGTATTTTAATTTAGAGTCTGCGTATCAAATGTATAATGTACAGCTGGACACAGCACAATATTTTCTATGAAATGCAAAAGGAGCTATTATCCAATAAGAAGTACATCTGGCTTTGGTGTAGCAGAGCTTTCCCAAAGGCAAAGAAATCACTGTGGTAGTTAAACCTGAGACCAGAGGAAGGACGGGATTCCTGCTGGAGCATTAGAGCTTGCATGAAGAGCGGGATCTCGGTGAGAGCATTTTTACGGCTAAAAACCTATTGCATATTGCTAAAATACTTAAGGGAAGGTGCAGCTAATTACTTGCAGCTGTCACTTGGTGATGCTAAACAGGCATTAGACAATCTTTTACAAACTGTCTAGAGATACTGTTGCATTTTTGCTTACAGTCAACTGAATCCCGAGCAGATGATTGTGCTAAGCTGTCAGCCCTTGTGCTTCTATACAAAAGGCTTTTAAATTAAAGCAAAAATTCATTACAACAGCGAAGCTCTGTTTTCCCTTGAGCTTTCTAGCACTGTTCACTCTCAGCGCTGAGGATGTTTCCGCGTTCATGTTAAAAGCTTTTCTTTTTGTTCTGCTCACAGCCCTTGTTAGACTGAATAAGCTGAGATGCCAGTGGCTTCGTATCACTGAGGGGCACAATCCCACAGCCCCTGTGCCTGGCTGTAGGAGGCAGCAAAAGAGCTGGTGGCTAGAAGGGCACAGGTAAAAGAGGAGATAAAGAGATGGGAAGGGCAGGTGGGTTGTTTGCCTGCAACTTGCTTGTTGTCACCTACGGCTTCCTCTCAGTGAGCTGATGGCTTTCATTTTAAAGCAATCCAAGGCTTCTCTGGAAACACTGAAGCACTTGTTTTGGTTTGCTGATTTTTTATGCAATAAAAGTTAGTTTCTTCTCTAAAACACCAGAAGACAGATGGCAGAAAAAATATAGTGGGCTGGACTCCCACTGAAAGCTGACCTAGACTCACCCCTGGCTTTATTGTTTTTCTTTCATAATTAGCTTTTGCTCAGCTTTGTCATTTTCATAAGCCTCGATATTCTTCAATTAACAAAACAGAACAAGAACAACAAGAGCTTAGGCAGCTCATGAGGTCACTTCTTGCAGGGGCTGGATTATGGCACCAAAAGAAGCCTGAAAAGCATGTATTGATCCAGTCTGACAGTTCCTGCCACATTAAGCCTCGCCACAGCTGTGATATAAAGGCGCTTAGAGCTGTTATCATAAATACCATCCACTATCTTTAAAGATCATCAAAATTGTTTCACATTGTATAAGAGTTATTGTCATATAATTTGTTCAATGCATTTTAGCAGCGTAAATTGGTTTAGCATCTTAATACTAGCTTAAAGGTCAAATGCAGATAATTTAAACTAACGTTTATCCTATGAAAGTTATCATATAAGCTCAATTTACTGAATGTGTTGAATGAAAAACAGTTTTACTATTCCCTTCATTTATCCAAAAGCTAAATATATCCAATAAAATTTACTTCTAAGTGTTAGGTAAGACTCATTCATTTAAACTCTCCAAGAACAGATTAGTGATTATTTTGTGAACATATATAGTATTCAAAGCTTGTTCTTAAAAGAAAAATGCATTTATTATAATTCTTTCTGTAGGAAGTCTATTGGAAGACAATTATAAGACAAGAATATTTATAATTAAGAATGAGAAGTACAACTACAATGACTACAATAAACTGAAGGAAGGTATTATGAACAAATTCATTTATGCACCTCTTAACCCAACCTATCCACAGTCCTGCTGGGCACAGAAAACTCCCTTTTAGATTGTGGCTCCTTCGCTCTGCTCACTGAACCAGTAAAACATGAAATCAAGTGCTTGTTTAAAAGAAAGGGGGAAAAAAGGGATAATTGCATGGGATCAAGCACAAGAGGGCAATGATGGAAGGTATAGTTGATAGCATCAGTAAGGAGAAACAGGCAAAGACTTGTTAAAAAAAGCTTTCCCAAAAAGCTTTCCCAAAGGTCTTTCCTGTTTTCTTCTGTTGTAAGCAAGAAGTATAAGACACTGATATGGCTTCTAATATATGTCCACTCAGCAGACATGGAAAAGCTCCAAGGCTTCAGTTGAAATGTTCAGATTGAGCCCAGATGTGGCTGTGGACAGCCTGGTGTCCTGCCAGCCATACTGTCCTGGTGGGATGGAGGTAGACTACTACTGCTGAGACATAGGGATATGGTTTATTCTGGTTTTTTTTCCTCTTCTTAGAGTTGTTCTGTTTGTCTAAACAAGCATTTGATGGAGCAGAAGATGGAACACAGCGCCTGAATGGCCTTGTCTAGTCTCTAGGTTACAGCAATCGTTTCTGTTCAACTAATTAATCATCTACATATCTATGGTTTCTTACTTAGTTCTTGGAGCAGAAACAAAAAGGGCGGTGAGGTGAACCCATGTTCTTTACATCTCACATGACTTCTGAAGTCAACAGACAATTTTTGGGGGGTAGATCTACCTGCATTTTGCTTAGTTGCTTTTTTCCAGAGCCAAGGTTCCTGTCCAACATCTGTCTGCGGCTGCAGTACTATTTAATTTTCAGGAGTGATGCCAGCAAATCTGCAGTGATCAAATTTTGAACTGGTATCTCTGCAGCCCTGAAAGCCTTGTGGGGCCCCTCTGTCTGACCCATCCCTTGCTGGAGGAGATGCAGGATCTCCAACCCACTTTCAGTGTCATCATCAAGCTCCTTCCCTCTTGCTCCTTGTGGGGATCAAAAATTGTGTGCAGAAATGTACAGAGCAAAATCGCGTACCTATGGTGAGCTTTGGGGGAAAGACCAAAACCAGACACCCTTGGAAAAATAAGAAAATCAGAAACCTCACAGTGATTCTTTCCTGAACACTTGTTCAGCCTTTGATGATTTGCAGAGCAGGGCCTTCATCAGCCAGGGATTTTGCCCAGGCAGAGGACAGAGACAAAGACATGGCTGCTGGGAGCAGGTTGAGCAGGAGGACTTAATGCAGTGCATAGCAGTCTCTCTTGGAAGGCTCCTTTGCTTACTGTTTTGCCTGGTTAGCCCTTATTTCCCTCAATCTGCTCAGAGACTTTTATTAACTTTCTAATCTCCTTCCTTCATTGCTTGAAAAATCTGATTTGGTGGATAAACTCATAATTTAATCCTCACATGTTTCTTCAAACACGATTCTCGTGAGCATTTCTGAACAACAGTAAAAATTAGCTAACATGAAAAGTATTATAAAGAAGTATGATTGCCTGAATTACCAGAGGTGTTAGTGATGATGATTGACTATGTTACTGTGAAATGGAAGATTTAGTTCATAGAATCATAGAATCACCAAGATTGGGAAAATGAATTATCTGTTAAAAAAACTGATATTTTTCCATCCATTAACAAGTCCAAAAACCAAGCCAGTTATGTAAAAAAAATATATATAATTGGAATACTTCATTTTTTTTTAAATTTCTCATTGTTATAGCTCTGAAAATACAGGGATGGTGGAATAATCTCATTCTTTTTCTTTTTAATTTCTTTTTTTTTTTTTTCCATTTATTAGAGAAAAAGGAATGTATTAAAAATGAAAGGAAATTAAAAGTAGCTTCTTACCTTTAATTTTCTATCTGAATGATAAAAAAGAAAAATTCACTTTTTTATCTAGAACTAATAACAAAAGAATAAAAGAATTATTTCATTGGAATAAGAATTCATTTTTGTTTATTCCCAGGGGAAGTTTTTATTATTGTTCCTTCAGTATGATTCAGAGATAGAACCAATATTTTCCTAGTGATACTAAGCATTTGCTAACATTGCTAACACTGTAATTAATTGAAATGCCCTGATATGGTAGAGTGTTTGTAAAATGTGAATATAAAAGTAAAGGTGAGAGAAATTCAATTTAAAAAATAACCAGCCATTTTTATAAAATGTTTTTCATAAAAATGTAAAAGAGAAACTAGGAAAAAATAAGCTGGTCTTAATCTAAGAAAGGAAAATATTAAGTTGTGGAATGTTCTAAGAGAAAATGAAAACCCTTTACATGGGACTTCTACAATTAGATTAGACAAAGCAATGAAGGATGCACTGCAAGAAAATGAGATTTGTGGCTAAAGAAACTTTTCTGGTGCACTAATAATTCTGTTTATCTCACTATACTGAGTTCCCTGAAATGTAACTTAAGTGTAATTTTATAATCTTTTCAAAATATAGATTGCAAATTTTTCTGAAAGCTGCAAGATCATTCCGAATAATGGCAGATTAGCTATATTTTTTTAATAAAGCAATAAAGAAGAATAACTGGAAAAAAAGGAGTAGAAATAGATGTTATAAACCTGATGTCTTTATGGCATTCAATAATTCAGTGGGGTTTCTGAGTTACAAAATATCATGTTTTATTTAGAAACTCTACTGGTCTAGATGTGTCCTTATCACTGTGTTGCTAGAACTGCAGTGGTAATCCTAAAAAGAACTGTGTTTTGCTCACAGTTTCTTAGGAACTTCACTTTGCTCTCGCAGGAAGTTATTGTATTATCAGCATTTCTAAACATGAGAAAATTGTTAGCAATGGCCCACTGTAGAGATGGATCCACTAATGCCCTTTCGTGTTCAGCTGGTTTCCAGAAAGGACAGAGCCTCAATCAAGCTCACAAGAATGGTAAATGGACCTCACATAGATCTGAAAATTTCAGACAGGATTGGCCCTTAGAGCTCTCTAAAAAATTGATTATAGAATCCCCAAATGGTTGAGACTAGAAGAGATGTTTGGAGGTCATCTGGTCTAATTCTACTGGTTAAGCAGGGAAACAATCTAAGCAATCAAATCATCATTTCAAAATTTGGAAATCTTGTGAAAGCAAGATTACACACAAATTAGTCTTCGAATAAAGAAGGTGAAATTGGTCTGTGTGCAACAAAATATTTAAGGAAACAAGTTCCAAACTTGTATTTTTCCTTTTAACACATATGGTCATAACAACAGATGAACATTTTCCGTGTTTTCACACCCAACATGCCTTAGAAATACATGAGTATATACACACAAATCCATACAGCAATTCATCAAGACAGTTTTGACCATCTACATTCTTACCTATGCCCCATATGTTCAGCTGTCACGTTGCCTACAGCACAATCTAACATGCAAGGATGAGAGAGAGAATGAGAATGCTTTGAAGCTACTCTGTCAATGTTTGAGAATGAAAGATTATCCAACTGTTCTCAATAGTGCAACCAGCTGCAATATATTCTCACTTAGACATTCTTAAAAGCAAAGAGGTCTGGTCATCTGGAAAGGTGAAATATCCCATCATTTTACTCCCTCACTAAGGGGACATTGAAGCTGTGATTGATATGAAAAGAGTCCAAAAGGAGAGGTTCCAGCCGATCCTTTAGGTCCCTGATCTTTTCTCCCTGTCTTTACTGACCAAGGGATCTAGGTGCCTTACAACCAAATCCATAACCTTATGTAAATTACATTTCACATATATAACAAGGGGACACTGTCACCTTGTTTCACAGGAAATGTGGGATTTGATTAATAATTTGTACTTTGTTGCTTTATTGCATTATGTATGTACATTTTTCATAGATTTAATTAGCAAATTTACTGATTTGATATGGAATTTTTCTTCAATCTTTTAGGACTAAAAGAAACAGGCCAGAGTGTACCATTTATCTAAGAAAAAAATATTGCACAGGGAAGTGATTGTCATTTGGGATAACATTACTTCACCAAAAAAAAAAAAAAAAAAAAAAAAAGCATCAATTGGATTAAATTTTCTTTCTCTAGTGTTTCCAGTGTTTCTGTCAAGGTTAAAGTCATTTAAAGAACGTTTGTGATTAAAAGATTTTCATACAGAAAATGGAGGTGAGCCAGAGTGATGTTTCAGAGATCCCTCTTACAAAAGACATTTCCAGACTCATTGCTTCTCTATCCTTTTGGTGTGTTCTTTCAAGCACATCCCCGATGTTTCTCATGATGCTTCCTTGAGATATTTCAGTTTTTCAACTCCACCTGCCTATGCTTTCTTCACGTACTCTCTCAGTCTTCTTTCATCTGTCCAACTTCCTGGCTCAAGATTTTGTGCCAAATAAATGCTAAAACATAACAAAATATATACGGAAGAACAGACAGTGACTGAATAAAGAATGAATGTGATATGTGAGTTACAAATAGATGATCTGGTGAAATTACTATGTGTAATCCTTGACCTCTCCTTTGCCATTCCAGTCATGCTTGTTTTTATCCAGGACATTAAATCGTGACAGATACATATACAGGAGAAGGCATTTTAATTATTGTTTTTAGTCTCTGATCCTTTTATTTTGGCTCACATTTACAGCGATGAAAAATCATCGCCCCTTCTGACACAAACATCCCATTCTGACAAAAGTCTCTTTCAGTGAAGCAATAACGTAAGCCTGGGGCCCTGTAAGTCAGCTTTGCAGGGGTGGAGAAGCTAGTGACACAATGTCTGGATATGTTGTAAGTATGAACAGTTTTGTTTACACATAGAAGCCAGGCCTGGTATTAGAAGTGGTAAAACAGCACTTTGGGCAATTATTTCTTCAAGGAATATTTGCATAACATCAGTGAGAATAATTATCACAATTATTAATATTTAATCGGAGAAGAAAGGACACAGCAAATACCAGGGCCCCTCTACCTTTTTCCAGACTCTTATTCTAAAAAGGCAACATGACGTGTCTTCTCAAATTGAAAATCTGCACACATGCTGGGAACCTGGAAAGCTAAATGTAAAAGTATCAGCTAGAAACACTTGCCATCATACTATTCTCTGGCCAATATTCCAGAGCATTTCTTGCTTGTCATTACTTCAAACTATTGGACTTTGACCCTCCTTTGAAGTCTGTGGCATATGCTGAAAATTAAGTATGTTCTTAAGTGCTCAGAGGATTGGTTTCACTTAGAAATAGCCAGTACAGTTAACTTCCAGTGCTAATTCTAAACTTCTGTCTTCAGCAAACTGTGTCTCTAGATGACATTAAGTGCATCCACGTTGCAATGCCACGACTTCTTGCAGTCAGCTGTATACTCTGCTTTTACTGACATTATATATAACATAATTTATGATCAAAACATGAGGTAGTTCAATGCCATGGCACAAAAGATGAGGCCACTTTCAAATGCCAGTTGCAAAGTCTTATAGGAGAGTAGAGGAGAATGGAGACCAGCCTTGGTCTCCTAATAAATGCATGTGTTGGTTAAGAACTGATAAGCAGAGTGCAAAGCAGATTTCTTAGAAGTAACTGACTGGAATCAAGGTATGTGATCAGCACTCTTGGAGGAACTGACAGTCAAGACTGAACACAGGGTGAAGAAGAGGAGAATAATTTAGCAGCTCATTGTTTCACACCATCTTTGGCAGAGTGATAAATGTAGATTTTCTTTATTCTCTATTTGCCCTAGCCCTTGAAGATCTCACCTCAGTTTTTTACAGGAGAATTTCTTTACTTAGGGAGACAGACGGGGAGCCCACTTCCTTACTCTAATGGATTTCTGCAGAACAGAGATCCTGCTAATCTGTAGAAATAATTGAGGTTGTGGGGTTGAAGAGGAAACAGCAAACAGTCTGCACTGATTATTTACATAAATTTTCTTAAGAGTGAACAGAAAGGATGGGTGACGGCTTTCTGGAGAAATCATTTTACATTCTTCAATATTCCTTCAATATCACTTCCATCTCAGAGGTTCAGAAGATGTATTAAGCCTTGGAAGGACTTCGGCAAAAATGGTAAAGAGCATGGGAGAATACCTTTTTCCTCAGGCACAAAGCTTTTCCCATTAAAACTGTCTTCAAGGGTACGATCAGAAATGGGAGACTTAAGCAACATGCTCTAAAACAGTTGTGATGCAGACTCCTTCAGATTAACACAATACATCATCAAATAGAGACTTCACAGTTAACTTTAGCAGTTGGGCAGTGCAGTTTTTTGAGGTTGCTGTGAAGTCTGAAGTTTGTTTGTGCAAATATATGTTACCACTGAAGCAGTAGAGCACTCCAATCCTTTTCTGCAGATCAGCATCTCCCAGCTTAAAGTGAATTGTTTCTATTCATGAAATCACAAATCAGTGGAATACAGCTGGCCATAAATTGTGAGTTCACATCAATACACCAGAGTGTCATAAGCAGAATACAATTATATTGGAGACAATACAATAATTGCAAAATCCTTAAATCTTTTCCTAACATTAAGTCTATAATTATCCCTGACTAAATGGGATTGCTATCGTAATTAAAATTAGGCATTGTTTGGTTATCTTCATGATCATCACTCAGCATAAACAAGGCAGTTATCAATTAGCTTAAAAAATACCCTGCACTTTGTCAAAAATTTGTTATTCCTTGTTCTATGAGGTACAGTTCAAGAAAAAAAAAAAAAAAAAAGAGTTTTTACCCATTTGGATAGCCTGAATCAGCTCCAAACCACAAGAAGCTCTTCTGGGTATGGGTGTGAAATATCTGCTTTTGGAGACAACATGAGCAGAGGAGCAGTGTTACTTCTCTCACACCTGCAGCCTTTCATTTCTTCTACTCAGTTACCTGTGACTCTTAAGAAGCTGGCCATATGGGCACCTCTTGAAAGCCACACAGAACACTCCTGAATGTATAACAATTTGCATTATTCCCTGTAGCGCTGCATCTCCTCTTCTTGAGCAAGTTACAGCAAATCCAAGGTGCAAGAGTTTTTTTCCAGAACCAGTCATTTCAAGAATTTTTCATTCTCATTTTCATAGTTTGAATACTTCAATGAGATATTTGATCTGAATAATGTAAATTGCTTATAACTATCCTATCCTCAAAAAATAATACATGATCTGAAGTTAGAGTGGCTTTGTATTGAAATATGTATTTATTTAATTACTTGACAAACTTTCCTGCGTAAAAGCATAGACCCTCTCCTGTAGTCAGAAAAATCAGCAACAAATTTCACTGTGCTACAGGACATCTGGTAATAGCTTCTCCTGAAGGCTGTGAAATGAAATATTTATTCAATAGTAAAATCCCCTTTAGTTCTATTTACACTGAATGTACTTTTTCTTCAGCAAGGCAGTACCCCAACTTGATTTAATTTCTGATGGGTTAATGATGGATTTCTTTTTGTTTTGTGACCACAACAGAAAAAAACATGATTCATACAAGAATGAAGAAGTCTTATGGTGCTACACAGAGCAACAATAAATTGTGAACAAATAAAAATGAATTGCGAACCAACTAAAATTACGTTGTTCAACCTAAGCCCTAATTATGTTTAATTTTCTTTTTTTATTTTGGGTCAATTTGAGAGCCAAATGAAAGGCAGTAAAAATGAAATGATAATTTTAAAAAATGCAAATTATTTGGTCATTATTAAGTTACATGCTTCAATTTGAAAATCCCTCTATATTTTTCAGTTCTTCTAGCCCTCTTGTTTCTTTAACTGGAACGAGCGTAAGTGTTTAGGTGTTTTAGTTAAGTGCTAATTTCTGTTGTGTATCTCACAACAAAATTCTATTTATTGGCGTATATTACTTGCTAATAATCTCACTGCCAGTTCTCAACCGGAAACAATATGGAAAATGTGGAGAAGAACGCACTCTGAAAATGATAGATTTCATAAAAGTAGCAGGAGTAACCCAAATGTGTTTTTCTGAACTGGGCACTCTGTCTTATGAGTAGTAGGTAAACGGTAATCTTATTAAGTAACCTAAAACACAAAACCAAAGAGGAAATTAGGAAATTTAGAAGGCCTTCTACCTTTGACAGAACAGCCAAGTACTAGGACCTGACAGGTACGATAAAGAGCTTAGATGTTCTTCTGATATTGTTCTTAGCCATAAGCCCTCAGGCTTTGTTCTACATGCTTAGTTAAACTGTTTTTATCTTACATAAATCCTGGTAAGCTACTTTAAGACCCATCAGACTACCTCAATTGCCATTTAAGTGTTTTTTTCTGCACTAACTGCTTCTTGTTAAATAGTTTGACATTTATGCGTCTAGACTTAGGTTGTTTTGATATTGATTTTGTACAGAATGATAATGGAGCATAGTGGCAATATTACTTTTGCTGTCATATCTAGCAGCAATATATCTCTTTGAACTTCTTAAATTGGAAGCAAAATCTACACATGTGTAAGTTTAAATTTAGTCAGTTCTTCAAAACTATGATTTTGCCTTCCTAGTTTTTTTTCCTCTGCAACTACCATTTTTTTCCTTATGGTGCCAAAAAAGAAAAAAAAAGAAGTATTTTTTGAGGAAAATCTCTGAAAAATAATGGAGCTTCTGAATCAGTATTTGCACAAGAATAAGCACTGTGGTATCAGCAACCCTTCCACTTTTCCTCCCTCACTAATCTTATTGTGGGAATGGAAAGCAGCCTCCTGCAGACACTCAAAATATCCATAAAAAGCCAGTCACTTTTAAGATAGTTACTGCTATTTGTTAAATGAGATGAACTTTATGGCTTTGATTTGTTTTTATTGTGTTTTACTCTTTGACAACAGTCAGCTCAAAACGCTGAAATAAGTCCTGTTTGTTACTTTAAATAGAGCTATATAACGTACGACATTTTTAAGCAGAAAAGAAGGTGATGTCATCTTTTTTCAGAAAAAAAAAAAAAAGACCACAAAACATGATGTAGAATATTTCATACTGTGAGATACACAAACCAGCAAAAGGAAAGCCAACTGCCAGCAGCTCTGCTCTTGAGTCATTCACATTAAATATTCCACTAATTTTGTATGCCAAAACCTTCAGAACCAAGTTGATGACAGTGTTGACCTTCAAAACTGTCCTGGTATTTGCCTCAGCATTTGTTTCAAGCCTTTGATAGTGTTTTAGGATCTGGAAGTCATATTTTCTGAGTAAAGGGAAAGAGATTTCATGTGGAAAGAGCTGAGATAGGCTTTTCATGCTGTTTCTTCCTATGCTTCTTCCATCATTGTACAGGAGCTTGTGCTGCTCTGTCTTCATCTTTTCATGGTTTTTCTTGGTATTGTTTGCCACAGTGTTTCCTTCTACACTATCAGAGACAAGAAAGTTTTGTTAAAAACTGATATATCTCAAACAAGTCATTAATAAGATTAAACACATAAATTGATCTGTAATATAATATTTTCCTGATATGTAATATGTAATATAATGTTTTCCTAGCATTTACTGGCAGAAAGAAAATCATATACAATCAGCCTTTTTTTCCCTGTCACTATTTTTATCAACTGGGAGACATCGATGTGCAAGATTCACATCATTTCTAGCACTTGTGTAGTTAGTGTTTTTTTCCCAGGGAGACAAAAGAATTATCTCAGCTAGATGAAGTCTGGCCAGCTTCACTGTGGCAATTTAAGACATTTAAAATAGGCTTTTGAGTCAGGCCTTGAGTCTACAGAATACAGCAAGTGATAAACTAAGATAAAAATGACACAGTCAAATAGATCTGATTATAATAGTGGGAATACAGAAAGCACCAGATAACTTTTCTATTTGCTTAATTTAAGAAATTGAAATGACAGTAAGCCCTGGTTAATCATTGCTCCCCATGACATTGTAAATATAACTGAACAGCTGTTAAATTTGTAAATTATGTGTTTGTAACTAAAAATAAAATCTCATGGTTATTTTATTTGACAGAGGAAATATATAGCATTCAGGTACTTTTAGCTAAAGCTAATCTAAATAAGGAATTCAAAACTTTTAAATACACGTAATAAGACTGAAGACTTCAGCTCTATTTTCTCATATTATCCTACTTTTTTTTGTTGTTTGTTTAAATACGAATAAATACATATAAAGCTACTTTCAGCTTCTATTGAGACATAAAATGACTCCAATAATTTCCATGGCAATCGAGAATTTAATTTTTCACTAGTTCTAACAGCATTTAGATGTAAGGACTTTTCAGCTATTTATTACTTTCCTACTGTTAAATACATTGAGCTGACTGACAGTCAAGTTCACTGCACATTTTTGCATATACTTCAGCCTAATGACCTGACTGTTTTAAGTAGGAAAAACTACTTCAGTTTTCTGTAATCCTTGTGTAAAAATGATGGCTTTGACTTTGACCTGTAGTTTCAGGTAGAAATGTATGCTGCTTCTAGATTTACTTCAGCAGAACAACATGTTATTTCCTTCCCAGAGCTACCCAGAGCTACCCTATTCTTGTCCTTTTTTTTTCAGAGAAAAAAACATTCAAGCTTTTAAACTTCAATATCTTCATACCTTCTCATGATGAAGATGACAGAGCAGTATAAGTAGTAAATACACACAGAAATGAGGGGTACTTCCATAAGTCACTTATGGTACATTAAGATATATTATGATACCCAGTGATACATTCAGGCTAACACAAAATTCTTGATATCAATCGTATCTTCTAAAAATTCACTCTACATAGTAGCGAATACTACCCTTTTTTTTTTTTTTTTTTTTTTTTTATAATTATTTAACCTTGAGCAGGTCAATGCAAATGGAAATGTTCTTTCATTTGTAAACCAAGTGTGCCCACGTGCTCTTTGATCCCACAACAAGAATCATATTCTCTTGCAGCTCCTGCCTCCAGGGGTACTTCCATGTTTCCCTAAGTCCTGCCTATTCTTAGGTTGTCCTAAAACCATTTTATGGAGAAAAATAATCACCTGTGACTACTCAGTTAACCTCGTGATAAGATACAACCCAGTTGAACGGTAATGACAACGTGACTCAATGCTCCACTTCTGCAGGTATTTATATGGAGCATGCCTTTCAACAAAGATGAGACATCTTCCTTGCGTAGGGTGAGCACCTGTGAATACTCCTCATTGTTTCTTCAGCCAATCTGTGTAACCAGAAAGCTCCAAACTTGACTGTAGTTGTGTTGGAAAGGAAAAAGCCCAAATCTTCAAACATAAATGAAAAGCAGACTACATTTTATGGGAAATAGTCCTTTGCTAATGTAATTACACATCTTTGAATCAGTATGAGCTCATGGGCAATGTAAATCCTCGTCTGTTTACAGCGTAGCAAATAGATATCTTTACTGCGTGGATAATGCTCTGTTACTGGCAGGTAGTACACAAGGTTTATCATCTTCCTTAGTCCTGGCCAAAAACTTAAAGTCGTTGCTGGTTGTAATAATTGTGATATTTTATACACTTGTGTGACTAATTTGACCTCTAATTGTTTTAGTTTAAGTAGTTTTGTTTTCACTACATTATGTACTCTTTTCTTCTACTCAGTTGGTTAATGTAGTTAACAAAATAGATACAAATGGAAACCTTCATGGACCAGATGTTTCTTTCGTAGACTGCAAAGACCACAGGGTACATTACAGACAACTTAATAAGCCTAATAACACAGCGGTGGTCCTCAGAACCCACCCATGTTAGTTCTCATAAAGTCCTACTAGAAGATCTACTCCCATAGGATTCACTAAATAGCAGCCTTGTACATCTACTCCATAACATTGCTAACATACTTCGGCACTTTCAAAACTGATTTGTAAATACTCATAAAATCAGCTGACTACAGAAACTGTAACGGCGTAATTAATTTAAATGAGCTATATTGCCATTCTTCTGTCTGAAAACAGCCACATCACTATCTGTGGCCTTTCTGTAGCACTTAAAGATCATCTTACACTTTACCATACAGGAAACAACAAGGTACCAAACTACATTGCCATTTATTTTCTGGAACTTGTAATAAAGAATTGGGTGAGTGTACAGCAGGAAAGAATAGACCAGTGGATGATGGCATGATTCTTAACAGCTCACGTGGTTGTCACATGAAGAACTGGCAACTTAAGGAGTTGTGGACCATTCTGGAGTCTGAATACCTTGTGTTTCCTTGGACAGCCCACTCTCACACAATCTCTACATTACGTGGGCATCCCTGCCCTGTAGTTGAGAACTTGGAACATTATCTTGACTCTGCAAACCTGGTTGCCTCAGTTGGAAGTTGGATCACAGCTCCCTATTAGATATCTGAGAGCACTGATGACACCTCAGCTATTCACAGATGGGACCAGTGGTTGGCAGTAATTGCTGAATTTTACCTCATTTAAGTGACGTCTTCTTGCTAAGTTTTTCGTTTTGCAGATATGTACCGATTCCTCAAGTACATATATAATGGATATACATATTCGTTATACACAATATTCCTTCTAGGCTGGAAAGTTAGCAGATTTATGTGTCTGAAAAATCATACAACTTGAAAGTACTGTGTGCATTAGTGCATCAGCAAAGGTCAACAGGTCTTAACATGAAAATTTCTATTTCTCATCCGCCCCAGAAAGCCAGGGAGAAATGTAGCCTGGGGGCTTGAAAATGCTCCACCTTGGCATCATCTGAGGTTTTGAATACAGCTACAACTGGAAGCAAGTTTGGAGAGACAAAAACAGCTTCTGGGGAAGAAAATGCTTGAGATGATGCACTGAAGAAAGAAAGAAAGAAAAACAAGAAGGCAGAAGCCAGAGATATGAGCTCAGGAGTACATCAGAAAATGACTGTTAGATGGAAATGTAATGGGGAACTGCAAATTCCAGTGAAAATACTGAAGAGAAGACAATAAATTTTGAAAGAGCAAATAGACAAATGCCAAAAACAAGAACAAAACCAAAAAGCACGATGAGACATACGCACACTAGAAAAGACCAATGAAAATGTATGTTCAAGTCAGTGCTCATCAGAGTAAGCAATGGCTGGGGCAATAGAGTCTGTCCAAAACGTGGATCCATCATGTGGATTTTATGAATTGGTTACATGTCTTCAAAGGAGAATTTGAATTCCGTCTTTGATGTCTGAATGATCATGAACTGTCCAAGTGAACCTCAGGAACGTGTCAGGGAGATTCGACAGTCCAGAAATTGAACAACTATTCTTGTTCCTGTATTTTTATTGGGATAGTTATAAACAAGTGTCAAGTGTGACAACTACTATAGAACTATTAAATAATAATAAGGAAATAAGTAATATGGTACTTGTTCCCTCTTTCCATCCAAAATAAAAACATATATTTTCCAGTTGGATATCAGATTTCTGCCTGCAGACTACAATAACAAAGAGGAATAGGTGTAATTAAAATAAAAATAACTATCAATAACATTTCTGGTCTTTGTAGTCCAGCTGGAAACCACTCTGATTTGAAAACTGGACACTTGACAATAGCAAAATGCTCTAACTTGACAATTCACAGGCTCTATAGGTGGACCAGATATGGAGTTACAATACTCAATAAAAATAACAGTTGGACAGATATTGAGTCAATAAAATTATGGCAGCCAGGCATAAAATACAATACTGTACAGATGTAGATGTATTCCTCCAAACAGTTTGTACTCTGTTTCAACAATAAAAATATGTGGTTTCCAGTACCCACCACCAGCCAGATGAGAGAAGAGGTTATCCAGATGTTTTCAATATAAAACACACCTTCCTAAAATCAATTGATATTTCATACTCTTTGTATTTTGCTTTCCTGCAGATGCAGGAAGTATTAATGGTAACATGATTGTATGTTACCGTAGTTTAACAAAATGGTCAGGAAGATGAGCTATGTTAGCAACATTATTTGGACATTTAATAGCATTTATCCTTTTAACTTCATTATAGCAGAATGCCCCACGGCCCAAAGAGAGTTATTTTTAGCATGACTTCAGACAGAAAGAAGTAACTTTCCATACAGACACACTGTGGCCTCTTTACAGAGATATATTACTAAGACTCCAGGGTACAACATTAACGGGCTGCCATTTCTGTCTCCCCTCTGCCTTCACTTTTTTCCAGCAATCACTCCATGTGGTCAGTACTCTCCGGTTTCTGCCTAAGGTCAGAAATAAAAGTCCATGACCCTGAGGCCTTCACAGCTGTTACCACTCTCCAAATGTCAGCACCCGCCTGTCCCCTGTCCCTCCTTTCCTCTTCCAAAAAAACCTCAAATTGATTTAACCTTACATCTTTCCCGTGTTCCCCTTCAGAAAGCTGTGTGAACTACTTCAAGAAAACAAGCATGTGTTTGTATATGTATTTGCATATGAGTGTCCCT